CTGCACAGCTCATCCTTTCTGCCCATTGTAAACACGTTCCAACCATCAAAACCATGCCAGGACTCCTCATTTTTCTAACCCTAACCCTACCCTTGCGCACACCTCTGACCCTAATATGGGGGTAAAGTTCCACTGGAAATAATGAGATTTTGAAAAAGCCTTCCCTGAGTAGCTTTTTCTGCCCAGCTCATCCTTTCTGCCCATTGTAAACACGTTCCAACCATCGAAACCATGCCAGGACACCTCGTTTTCCTAACCCTAACCCCACCCTGGGGCCCACCCGTAACCCTAATATAGGGCTAAGGTTCCATGGAAACTAATGCAATTTCGAAAAAGCCGCCCTGGAGTAGCTTTTTCTGCACAGCTCATCCTTTCTGCCCATTGTAAACATGTTCCAACCATCAAAACCATGCCAGGACACCTCGTTTTCCTAACCCTAACCCTACCCTGGTGCACACCCCTGACCCTAATACAGGGCTACAGTTCCTTGGAAAAGAGGGCAATTTCGAAAAAGCCGTCCTTGAGTAGCTTTTTCTGCACAGCTCATCCTTTCTGCTCATTGTAAACACGTTCCAACCATCAAAACCATGCCAGGACACCTCGTTTTCCTAACCCTAACCCTACCCTGGTGCACATCCCTAACCCTAATACAGGGCTACAGTTCCTTGGAAAAGAGGGCAATTTCGAAAAAGCCTTCCCTGAGGAGCTTTTTCTGCACAGCTCATCCTTTCTGCCCATTGTAAACACGTTCCAACCATCAAAACCATGCCAGGACACCTCGTTTTCCTAACCCTAACCCTACCCTGGTGCACACCCCGACCCTAATATGGGGGTAAAGTTCCACTGGAAATGATGGGATTTTGACAAAGCCGTCACTGAGTAGCTTTTTCTGCACAGCTCATCCTTTCTGCCCATTCTAAACACGTTCCAACCATCGAAATCATGCCAGGACTCCTCGTTTTCTAACTCTAGCCCAGTGATGGCAAACCTTTTAGAGACTGAGTGCCCAAACTGCAACCGAAAATCCGAAGTTCTAACACTACAATAAAATCTGGAAACTTCGGTTTTAGTTTAGAGAAAACACCTCACAGCCAGTCCAAGCAAAATCTGTTTGGCAGCGCACTGACCGGCCATGTGAAAGCTCGGACGAGTCCCAGGTAATGAGTCACGGCACGTGACGTCATCGCCTGGTGGCACTGCTCCTTTCCGAGCAGGCGCATGGCCCCTGTGTGCGCTGCCGGGACTGCTTGGCTCGCGGGGCGTGCGAAAGGTTGGCCACCACTGCCGTAGGCACATCCTACCCGGCCTGTGAAGCCCCTCCAGCACCTCGTCCCTGAGCCCTGCTCCTCCTCTGCCTGGCCAGTTCTCCCTTGGAGGAGGACGCAGTGGTGACCATGGAAAGGGTTAAGCCCGCAGCCCTCCCGATGCTGGTCTCCCGGTTCCTCCGTGCCAAGCCCGTAGAGAAATGCAATACACGGCTGCTGTCTTTAATTTGAAGAGCTGCCAACGCCCTGGGAGTGCTTCTGGGTGACATGCAGCTCTGACGCCCCCCCCGAATTCCAAATACAGTAGCCGAACAGAAGACCCCCTCCCCTGAGAGCTGCAGGCTTAAACACCGAGCGGGCTGCAAGCTGCCAGTCCGTGGTGTAGAGAGGCGGAGAAGGGCCGCCTCAAGGAGGGCTGGGGCATGCCGGAAGTCAGCCAAGCAGAGCATTCAAGGTCGCGGAGCAGCCCGGTCGCGGTCGCGGAGGGAGTGGAGCGTGCACGCTGCCCCGGGCAGCGGTGCGCCAGGCAGAATACCAGTATTCCGGCTGATGGCGGTGGATAACGCTTTCCCCGTCCACAAATTGGTCTAGTCCCCCTTTCAAGCTGTCTGAGTGAACGGTGATGCAGCAATTTCCATAAACCCGTGCGGATTTCTGCCTCTGGGTCCCACAGCCCTTCAGGAACACTTGGCTGTTCCTTAGTTCTGGCATTTTTCAGGAAAGGGGGAAAGCCCCCCCACACACAAACACACTTTCCCCAGGATCCTGAGTAGGCAGATTTTGGGAGTCGTTTGCGGCAGCAGCAGCAGTTCAGGAGCATCTCACGGCCTGTGACCAGGGCAAGGGGTGCTTGGACGTTGCCGCCCCCCCCCCCGGCTTGCTTTACTTTGTGGGCAGCGTGGCATCGCTTTCTTGGCGGTACGTGACACCTCAGGACTGCGGCTCCCAGGCTTCCTCAGCCAGCAGGGGTGTCCGAGGGAAATGGCGAAGGTCCGGTCGTGCTCGGTCACTGCTTGCGGCACGTTAACTGAGAGTCGCTCCTGGGGCCGAGCCTCGGGACCAGGCTGACCCAGAGCAAATAACTCGTCGCCTCCGAAGGCGAGCTCGGCTGGTGCGGAACTGGGTTTTCCCCTTCAGGCGGGAGGGAGCTGGGCTTGGTGGGTGAGGCTTGCGTGGGCAGCTTTGCCCCTGCGGTGTGACGATTCTTACTGCTGTCTTGTTTCTTCTAGAGAATTTCTCCGATGTGAGTTGGGCCACTGGGCTCTGCCGTGGGGGCCAAGACCAAGCAGCCTTCTGGGAAACTACCCGTGGCCTCGACCGAGCTGGGAGCTCCAGGAGCAGCTTTGGTCACGGTGGGGGAGGAGGCCGATTCCTCTCCCCTCCGCTCTGCTGCTCTGTTCGCCTGCCTTGCCATCCCCTTCTGGGCCGCTCACGAGGAGGCGGTGTGCGGTGCGGCTGCCACTGAGGGTGAGCATCTCTTCCTCCGTCTGGGGGAACGGGGGTGGCGGGGAAGGCTGCCTCCCACACGCCTCCGGCCAGCATGCATTCTCCGCCCGCCGAAAGATTTCTTGCAAATTCCAAGTCTGGCACTGGGATTTCACAGAGGGATGTTTTGCCTCTTCCCAGGAACAGGGTTGTTGCGAGGACAAAACGGGAAAGGGGGTTGTGTGAGCCATGCTGGGTTGCTTGCAGGAGAGAGGGCGGGGCATGCGTCTTAGACTAAATCGGCGGCATGGAAAGTGGGAAAGGCGATGTGCCCCCCGTGCCCCTGACCAGATTGCGCAGCTTGGCTTGCCTCTGGTCTTGAAAGAGAGGAGATCTGCAGGCGCTTCTGCAGCAGCGGCCCCAAACTTCTTAGCAACTTGTTCCCTGCCCTCCGTCTGACAAACCGCTACGTCTGCGGTTCCGGCGTGGCATTTTTTGGTCTTGCCCTTTTTCCAGGTTCCCAGCTGTTGGAGTTGGCCTGCCAGCGGGAAGGGGCGAGCAAGGGCGAGTGAGGCCTCTGAAGTGTAACGCAGGTGGGCAGTGTGGCTTGAAAGTGCCCCCCCCCCCCGCGTCCGGTGTGCCTTCTCCAGGCCAGGTCCGGGCTCTGGCAACCCCAGGATGCATTCTCTGCAGCCGGCACGGGGACGCCTTTCAGCCTTAGGCTCAACACTAAGTTTGGAGAAGCTCAGGGGGGCCATATTTCCAGTGGGGGTGGCGAGGCCCAGGCCAGAATCCCAGTGCAGGGCTGCACAGCTTAGGAAAGTGGTGCTGTTAGTAAGCCGGCCTTGAGGGAGGCCGTGGGGTAGCGGGGAGGCAGGGCACCCACGCGGGGGCCGGTTGTGCGGTCAGGCTCCCCACCCTCCGGGAGGCTGCCGGGAGGGGGACGGGCCGCGATGCCTTTCTCCGGTGCTCACGCCGGGAGTTGCCGTGGAGTGGCTTTGCTGGGAACGTCTCGCGCTCCGGGTGGCTTCAGGCCTTTGTGCCTCTCCAGGTCACCGGAGAAGAGGAGGAGCACGGCGGCCAGGCCCCGCGGGAGAGCGAGCGGAAGGATGGCCGCAGAAACGCTGAACTTTGGGCCGGAGTGGTAAGCCGTCGCAGCGGCGCTCGGGGCAGCCAGTGGACCGCGCACGCAGCTCCCTGCCCCAGGGCCCGGGAGACCCCCCCCCCCGTGCAACACGCAGCGGTGGTGAGGAGGAGGGGTGCTGCCCCCAGCGTCACCTGCCCCCCCTTCCTCCTCTTTCCCCAGGCTTCGTGCACTCTCCAGCGGCGGGAGCGTTGCTTCCCCCCCACCCTCCCCTGCCATGCCAAAGTACAAACTAGCCGAATACCGATACGGGCGGGAAGAGATGTTAGCACTTTACGTCAAAGACAACAAGGTACGTGCGGCCCCTGCCTGAAGCGCGCGTCTTCCTCCGTGCCCGGGGGCTGTGCCGGCGGCTTGCAGGGCTGCCAGACAGAGAGGCCCCCGGTGTGGGCGGGGCGTGTGCCTGCACGGGGTCAGCTCCCGATGGCAGTGTGAAGCAGAGGTGGGGGAGTGCAGGGGGGCGCCCCTGCTGGGCGCAGGCCGTAAATCCCCCAGGGAAGCCTCGGGCCAAGCTCTGCTGCCTTTGGCCGACCGGTTTCCTCAGATGGCTTGCGGTGCTCGGGGAGGGTGGCCGTCCCTGCTCTCCTCGTCCCGGCACGTGATGCTCCGTCGGTCCCGGTGTCTCCTCTTTGCTGAGCTGAGGGCCTCGGCCGTTCTCGAGCCGCTTTGTCAGGAAGCCGCCCTGCAAAACAGAATGCCCAGATCGCCCCTTCCGGGCCGTCTGCTCCCTCGATTCCCACGAGACCCACCCCTGCGAAGTCCGGCTTGAGAGCTGAGAGAAATGGGAGGCCTCCTTTGCCTTGGCACCTCCTGGCAGGTAGCTTGTCCCCCTCCATCCACCGGTGGCTTCCCTCCTGGCAGGTCCCAGAGGAGATCCAAGACAAAGAGTTCTCTGCCATTCTCCAGGATGACCCTCTGCAGCCCCTGGCATTAGTACCATTGACAGAAGAGGAGCAGGTAGGGCTCGGCCCGGAAGGGGGGGATGCGCCCGGGGAGCAGAACCCGGGGGCCTTCTCCGACCTCACCTCACCTCACCTCTCCTCTCCTCTCCTCTCCTCTCCTCTCCTCTCCTCTCCCTTCCCGCAGAGGAACTTCTCCATGTCCGTGAACAGCGTTGCGGTGCTGCGGCTGATGGGGAAAGGCGGCGGGGCTGCCCCGGCCGGAGTCTCCCGCGGGAGAGGCAGCACGCGAAGCCGAGGTACGGGGGTGCGCGGGTCCCTTGCGTGGGGCGGGGCGCCTGCTGCCCCCCGCCTGTGCTCTGGCCTGGGGACTGCAGGGGCTTCTGCTAAACATTGCCTTGCGTCCCCCCCCCACCCCAGGCCGTGGCCGTGGCGAGGGTGGCTTTTACCAAAGAAGCATTGAAGAGGTAGAAGGCGCGTTTGGCCGTGGCGGGGCCCGCGAGATCCACCGCAGCCAGAGTTGGGACGACCGGTGAGTGAGCGCCGCCGTGCAGGGCCGCCGTGGGGCTGGTGGCACGCTTGTCGCCCCGCCACCCGTGCTGACCCGCTCCTCTTCTCCTCCTGCAGAGGAGAGCGGCGGTTTGAGAAGCCCATCCGGCGGGAAGGAGGTGCGTTGGAGCGAGCGCGGTGGAGCTGTGGCAGGAGCGGCCGAAGGGCTTCCCTTCCCCTGCCCGGACCCCCGGGGCCTGGCGGTCTGGTCGGCGCCCCGTCCCGCTGTCCGTGGCCGTCGCGCCCCCTTCTCCAGCCAGCTGTGTCTCCCACTCCCAGCCGTTCTGGGGCGGGCGGGTGTTGGTGCCGCGGGTCATGGGTCGTCTTTGCCCTCTCCCTGGCAGCCCGGCTCCCTTTTGAGGAAGGCGCTCCCCCCGGCCGCAAAGACTTCGCCCGCTCCGACAGCGACAACTGGCGCACTCTCCGGGAGGAGCACGAGGAGGAGGAGGAGAGCAGCGCCGGCGTGCCGGGACCCGGAGGCAGCTGGCGGCAGGGCGGGGGGCCCAGGCGCGAGAGTGAGCGCTGGCGGTCGGCCAGCCCAGGTGAGCGGGCCCAGGGCGCCGCGGCCCGATGCAGCCGTGCGGGGCGGGGGCCTGCGCCTGAACGGGCGGGCGGGGTGGGGGGCCAGGCGGCATGACTCGGTGCTTCTCTCCCCCCCCCCGCAGATGGAGGGCCTCGATCCGCAGGGTGGCGAGAGCATGGTGGGGAGGGGCGTCGGCGGAAGTTCGATTTTGACTTCCGGGAGCGTGAGGACGAGCCGCGGAGCGGGCGCCGACACCGGCACAACAGCGACAGCTTTGAGGACGATAAGGACGGCCTGCCCGAGTGGTGCCTGGAAGACGAGGAGGAGGAGATGGGGACGTTCGACTCCTCCGGGGCCTTCATGTCCCTCAAGGTGCCTTGGCCGGGCCCCCGCCTCCCTCCGCTCCTCCCGCTGGAGGCCAGGAGTTCAGCCACTGCTGGGGAGCCGCGCGGCTCCCTGCTCAGAGCGCTGCCCGTGTGGGGTGGGAGCCGGCCTGGGGCCAGTGGCCAGGCGCTTTCCGAGCTCTGTGCGCTCCCCCCACGCTTCGCGCTGCCTTCCTGGGGCTCGGTGACGCATCGCACGAGCTCAAAGTGAGGAGGTGCTGAAGGGCCCTTTGCCCTTGCACCCCCCCCCAGCTGCTAGCGTGTGGTCCTGGCAGCGCCCCCAGGACTGAACCTGGCCCAGGCTGGGAGGGCTGCCCAGGCCTTCCTGGTGCCTCGCAAGGGGCAGTGCCCTTCTCTTTGCCAGAGGACTGTCGGTTCCCTGCGGGGGGGGGGGTCCCCCCAGCTCTCCATGGGGGAGAGATTTCGCAGAGCTTCCTGCCCCGTGAGCGTGTGTGCTCCTCCCCTCTCTTTGTCTGTTTCTGCCCCCCCTTTCTGAAAGCCGTCACGCTGCCTCCCCCCTGCTGAATGGCAGAGCGTCCTGGGGTCCCTTAACGTGCCGCCCAAAGCTGACGTGACCCCCCCTTCCACAGAAGAGTCCCAAAGAGCCCCTTCCTGAGGAGCAGGACCTGAGCTTTCAGCCCCTGCAAGAGGAGGAGGAGGAGGAGGAGGAGGAGGAGTGCCCGCCGGAGGCCAAGGAGGGCCATCGGAAGGAGAGTGCAGAGGCGCCTGTCAGCCCCGTAGCGACGGAAGGGGTGGAGAGAGGTAGGTGGCCAGGGAGGGTCTGCTCCGAGGCGGGCAGGCGGCGGAGCTTCAGGCTGCGGTAACACGCTGACCCCTGTCCCCAGAGCGGAAGGAAGCCCAGCCCGGGCCGGACGAGAAGCCCCCTGCTCCTCCCGGTGCCCCACGGCGGTCAGGGCCCCCTTTCCCCACGGCCGCCGCGAGTGAATGTGAGAGCGTCATCTTGGGGAGCTCCTGCGGCGTGGAGGCGCCCGTGGCGGCGGCCAGCGGCAGCCCGGCTGTGGAAGCGATGGATGGTACGCGGGCTCCCCCCCGGCTCTCCCCCGGTCCCTGGTGCCACGGGGCTTGGAGGCAGCCGCCCCTCGGGCTCTGCCGGGCAGGGCTGGCGCAGGTGCTCCCGTCCTGGGGGCGGCGCGTGTTGTGCCGGGGCTTGGGGAGGGCCAGACAGTGGCCCCCTCCCGCCGAGCAGGCCGCTCCCTGCCCCCGCCCTTTCCACAGGGCCCCTGCTCTTGCTGACTGGCTTTCCCACCCCGGAACCCCCCCAGGGGACCCAGGCCTCCTCAGTCGCTCCACGCAGCTCAGCCCTGTCGCCATCGCCGCCCTTCCCGTGCCTCCCGTGCCGTCCTCGTCTGCCGCGGCCACCGCCACTACCGAATTCACAGTTGGAGACAATGAGGATGAGGATGGGATGAAGCACCTGCAGCAGGTGAGGGGGTGCCACTTCCAGGATAGCAAGGACCCCACTGGGTGTGCGGGCGTCCCCCGTGCTGGCGCTTTGCGTCTTGTGCTGGGTGGCGCATCCTTGGTGCCAGCGGCTGGGCAGACCGCTCCCGTGGCCGGCTCCAGCTGGCGCTTGCTGCCCTGGGGCTCTCTGGCAGCCTCTCTGGCATGACGAGGGCGGGCGCCCAGGCATTGCGGCACTTCGGCCGGCACTGGGGATGCTGGGGCTCTGTCAGACTGTTTCCAGGGCCAGACTGCGGGGAGCAATGCAATAAACTCCGGGCAATTACCGGGGAAACCTCCTCGCAGCCACTTGGCCGTCCTGGTGCAATTCCCGTTGGCACTGAGGTAATCCTTTAGAAAAGGTGAGGGTGCTTCTTCTCTCTCAGCCGCAGCCCCCAGCCCCCTCGGCCCGGCAATAGAAAACACAACTCCTCTGCTGAAATTTTATTTTTTTCTCTTTCGTATACATACTATCTCAAGCCATCTTAGAGTGGTTTACAGGAAGCTAAGACCAAAGTAAAGTCATTCAGTACAGTTTAAAGCAACCAAAAGACGCTGTTTGCCGTTCCCCAGGAGATGCCTGCCTGCGGCCGCCAGTCCCTCCTACCTGAGGGCCCCCCCGCCGTCCTGGCTCAGAGGCGTGCACCTGCCCTCCGCACCTGCCCTCCCTCCGAGCGCCCTGGCGGCGGGCGTGGGGCAGGATGCCCTGCCGGCACTCCCCTTTCGTGGCTCCTCCTCCCGGGTGCCTCGCGAGGGGTCTTTGCGATGCCGCGAAGGGAAGGAGTGTGTCGGCCTCGTGCGGCTGCGGGAGCAGCATGGCGCCGCGCTCGTGCCCCGTGGGGGGCGTGGGGAGGACCCGATCCGGCCTCCCACAGAAGCGCGGCCTGCGTGGGCTCCCTCGCCTCGCCCTGACGGGTGCTGCTCTTTCCCCGCAGGAAGCGGAAAAGATGGTGGCCTCCCTGCAGGACAGCGCCCTGGAGGAGGAGTGCTTCACGCGGGCCATCGCGGACCAGCGCCACACTGCCGCCGCCCTGCCGCTCTCCCACGAGGCGGCCATGAAGTGGTTCTACAAGGATCCCCAGGGGGAGATCCAAGGTGCGCCCCCGGCCCGGCCCGGCCCCTCGGCCCTGCCGGCGCCGCCGCCCGGCTCACGCCGGCCTCTCCTGCTCGCCTTCCAGGCCCCTTCGCGACCCAAGAGATGGCCGAGTGGTTCCAGGCGGGCTACTTCACGATGTCGCTGCTGGTGAAGCGGGGCTGCGACGAGGGCTTCCAGCCGCTGGGAGAAGTCATCAAGATGTGGGGAAGAGTGCCTTTCGCTCCCGGTCCGTCGCCCCCGCCGCTGCTGGTGAGGACCCCGGGGCCGCCTGCCGGGGGGCTGGGGTGGGCAGGGCAGCGGTGCCCGTCCCCGGCTCCCTCGCTGCCGGGGGCGGGTGTGCGAGGGCAGGGCGCACGGGCAGGGGGGCCGCGGCAGCCCCAGGTCCTGGACGGGAGCCCCGCTGTCCCTGCCGCAGCGGGGCCGCTGGGGCAGGCAGCCTCTTCCGCCAGGGGCCGCCCCTTGGGCACCGCCTGGGGGAGGCATCCTCCCGCATGGGGGGGGGAGCCCTGCTGCTCCCCACTGTTGCAGGCGTTCACTACACTCGTTTGACCCGGTTCAGCGGTGAATATTGCAATAGCTGCTTGCAAGCGGCTCCGCAAGCAGTCATGCGCAGATCTGCTCCGAAATGAGTCCCGCCGAGTCGAGTGGGGCTACGGGAACGTTCTCTGCCCCCCGGCCGTTGGAGCCCGGCGTGCGCATGGGTCCTGGGGAGGAGGCGTCCCCAGCACACAGCCGGGGGTTGAGAGCAGCGCAGGCCCAAGGGCCGGGATGGCCCTTTGAAGAGCCAGAGAGGGCTTGTCCTGTGGCTGAGCCTGGTTGATTTTGTGTTATTTTTTTTTATTTCTATACCACCCAGAGCCGAAGTTCTCTGGGCGTTTACAAAAAGGTTGCTTACACCACCAAGGTCGCTGTGGTGAGTGCTCAGTTCAAAGTTTTAGGGGGGTTGTAGGAAGGGCGAGTGCGCAGAGGTCCCCGTGCTCCTGGCCAGCCCCACCGCCAGAGGGCCTGGCCCTGCAGAAGCAGCAGCACCTGAGGGGGAGCGGTGAGCCCACTCTGCCCCCGAGCAGCCGCGCAGAGGCTGGCGTGGCGCTGCTTGGCGCCAGCGTTCCCGGGGCCGGTGCCCCCGTGGAGCCAGCTGCGGCTTGCAGGGCCCTCTGCCCGGCTGCTGGCCGTGGGGCCAGGTGCCGGGGGCTGTGTCCAGCCTGTCTGGAGGGCAGCAAGCTGGGGAGGCAGTCGGGAACTGCGGGGGTGGTAGAGACGGCCGTGATGAGTTCGCTGCTCGTAAATTCAGCACCCGGACCAGTGTCTTCGCTTTCAGATGCGGGCCGGGAGTATCTGTTCTCCCCACCCTTCTTCCTCGCCAGCTGGAGCGGGATGCGTCAGGCAGGCAGTGTGTGCCTCCGAGAACGCTCTCTGTGGGGTGGGGGTCGGGGGGGGCGCTGCTGGCCGGCGGTCCGCCCCCACGGTCACGGCTGGGCTGAGGAAGGACCTGCTCTTTCCCTCCTGCCTGGGAGCTGGGCGTGGGGAGTCGCCCCTGCCCTGCCCTGCCCTGCGGCCCTCTCTGGCTCTCGCTGCTTCGGGGCTCGTGGGCCACACGGGCAGCGGCTCACTGCTCCCGCCCGCTGTCTCTCCAGGGAAACATGGACCAGGAGCGCCTGAAGAAGCAGCAGGAGCTGGCCGCCGCCGCCCTGTACCAGCAGCTCCAGCACCAACAGCTGCTTCAGCTGGTCAACAGGTGACTTGCACCCCCACCGCTGCCCCGGCCGGGCCGGGCGGGCGCTTTCCCTGTGAGCAGCCTGGCCGGGCAGAGCCTTCCCCGCGGGACGGGGCAAGCAGGCCCCACGGAGCCACCGCTCCTCACCGTGAGCCGCCCGGTGAGGAAGGGGGGGCCAGTCTCCGGCCACTGCATTTGGGCGCGTGTGCCCCGAAGGGCCTTGGCATGGCGACTCGGCCCGGGCCGCGCTCCGGATTGTGGGCGGGCCCCGTGCGCGAGCCCTGCCCTGCCCTGCCCTGCGGCCGAGCTGCGTGGTGGGCCTCGCGCCTCAGCAGCCGGCGGGCCTCGCTTGCCCTCCGGCCAAGGGGCCGCCCCGGTTCGACCGCGCACAGCCCAGCTCAGCCGGCGCCTTCCTCCCAGCAGGCAGCAGTACGCCCAGTGCGCGCTCCAGCAGAAGGGGGCGGCGGGGGACGTGACGCAGCAGCAGCTGGCCACCTTCCTGCAGCAGCTGCAGGCGCTCAAGCCACGGTGAGGGCCCTGCCCCTGGGCCACTGCTGCCAGAGGCGACGGGCCGGCCGGGGCGTGGCCGGCGGTCCTCCCCGGGCCCAGGGGTCCCCGGGAAGCCCCCTGCGGTGGCTCAGAGCAGGAGCGGGGAGGGGGCTGCGCCTTCCTGGTGTGGCCTTGGCAGGCCCCCAGAGGTCCTCCGGCCGGGCCGGGCCGGGCAGACCGACAGCCCCCGGGGCGCCGCTGAGCCATTTGCCCGCAAACGCCGCTCTTGGCCGCGGAACCGCTGATGTCCGAGGAACGTGGGGCTCACCCGGTTGGGCAGGGCAGCTTGGAGCCGCTCTGGTGCCTGTGCTCCTGGCCAGCGCTTTGGGGGTTCGGGGAGCAGGCGCAGCTGACTCCGTGCCCCCTGCCTGCGGTGTCGCTTGCCTTGCAGAGCCGGAGAGCAAGGCATGATTCCGTGCGTGAACCGATCGTTATCTGTGCCAGACACCGGGTCCCTGTGGGACGGACATACCTCAGCCTCGCCGCAAGCAGGTCATTCCTCTGTCCCCCTCCGAGTGTGTGTGCGCGGGGCCGGGGGGCGGGGGGCCGGCTTGGGAAGCACCGGGGAGCTGGCCCTCCGCATCTGCGAGAGGGCGGGAGCGCTCTTCCGAGCGCCTCTTGCTCTGGGGTGGGTTCGGATCCCTTCGCAGGCCTGGGTTCAAGTGGGAATAGGGGGCGACTGCTTTGCGGGGGGGGCTTGTGCGGATGGGTGGTGTCGGCAGGCGAAGCGGAGGCTGTGCCGCCTCCTCCTCTCAGGTTAGTCCCTCGCTCCCGTCCAAGGAGCAGAGGCGGGGGCCTTCCGGAACGGCCAGGGGCCTCGGTTGGGCTCGGGCCGCTGTGGCTGTGAAGTGCCCGCCTCAGTGGCCGCCTGTCTCCTCGTGTCCAGCGCTTCCCTTGGGTGGGCGGCTGGTGGGCTTGTCAGCAGCGCCTGGGTGAACGCTGCACGGGGGTGAAGACCCTGAAAGTGGCTGGCGGGCTGCAGGGGGAGGGCTGGGGTGGGGAGGCCGGGGAGGCTGTGCGGGCGCTCCTCGTTCTGGGGAGCCGGGGGCATGGGGCACTCTGCACGTCAGCCGGGCAGGCCCGAGTGGCCGCTTCAGTGCTCGGCTCTCGGATTGGTAACCCTCTTTCCCCTCTTCCCCCTCCCCGCTTGCAGGCGGTGAAGCCAGCTTATGGGATATTCCAATTAATTCTTCAACTCAGGGTCCAAATTTAGAACAACTTCAGCTGCAACATAAAGTGAGTGGCGTGCCGCGCGAGCGAGCGAGCGAGGGCTTGGGTGCCGAGGCGGAGCCTGAGGACTGGGGCCGGTGGGCGGCCCGTCCAGCTCCTCCGTCTTTCCCTCTGCCCCCAGCTGCAAGAGCGGAGAGGTGCCGAACTCAGGGCTAAGCGGGAGGAGGACGAGCGGAAGCGGCGCCAGGAGGAGCAGAAGCGCCGCGAGGAGGAGGACCTGTTCCGGCGCAAGCAGGCAAGGGCGGGGCCCCGCGTGCCGAGGGGCCCCCGGCCCCGGGCCCTCCCCTGCCCCTCGGTGGAGGGGGCGGGCGGCCCCGCGAGCCATCCTCTGGGGCGCTCCTCGCGGCTCCCCCGCAGGCGGGCAGCCACACCGCTCGCTCCCCGGGGCGCGCTGGCTGGGGGCCGGGGTCTGCCCGGGCGGGAGAGGCGGGCTGACGGTGGGCCCCCGTGTCTGCAGCTGCCCTCGTCGTCGTCCTGGGGCCAGCAGTCCGGCAGCAGCTCCTCCACCCAGAACAGCTTCAGCATCGCCGACATCCAGAAGCTGGGAGACGCCCGTGCGTGCCGGGAGCTCCGGGAAGAGGTGAGCAGCGCTCCGGGCCGTGGGGTGGCCTCGGCCTCCCGGGCTGCAGGGCCGGCCTGCGGGGGTGTGGTGGGGTGGGGTGGGGTGGCTGGCCGGGCTCCCCCCTCACGGAGCGCTGCGGTCTCCTCAGTGCCGCCAGCAGGAGCTGCTCTTGAAGCTTCTGCAGCAGCAGCAGCAACAGCAGCAGCAGCAGCAGAACTCGACCCCCTTGTGGGGCGGGCCGGCGAAGCAGAGCCTCTCCATGAAGGCCCTCCTGGAGCTGCAGCAGGAGAGCGAGCGGCACCTGCAGAAGCAGCAGCGGGCGCAGCAGCGAGCCGTGAGTGAGCCTCCCTGCCCGCAGCCGGGGCTCTCGGGGGCCCGTGGCCGGCGGGCGGGCGGGCGGGAGGCCTCCCCCTCGGCCTTCCCCGGAGCGCCCCTCCGGCCCGTCCCTGCCAGGCGCCGCGTCCGGGCTGGGTTGCCGAGCGCAGCGAGCGTCTCCAGCCGGGGCCGCGGCGTGAGGAGACCTGCAGGCTTCCTCTCCCGGCTGCGAGGGCCGGCCGGCCTCCCTCTTCCCTCCCGCACGTCTTGGGCGCAGCCACTCCTGGAATGCCGTGTTCATTTCAGGTGGCCTTGCTGGGAAGGGGCGCTACTGAGGTGGGAAAGGGACCGAGAAGGGTGACCAGAGGGACCGGGGGGCTGGACAACAGCTTCGATGGCGCAGAGGCGAGGAAGGGGAGGCGTGAGGGGGTGGCGGTGGGGTGGAGGGGGAGAGCTTTTGCTCCCGCTCCTAGAATGCTCCAACCCGGAGTCGCCCCGTGAAGCGGACTGGGGGGAGTTTTGGGCAGACCGAAAGAGAGTTTACCGCAGCTGTGGACCTTGCCGCCTCGGGAAGCGGCGATGGCTGCCGACCTGGACGGCTGCAAAAAGGGAGGGGGAGCTGCGCGAGGGAGGAGGCCGCCAGAGGCTGCTAGGCCTGCTGGCCCTGGGCTCCCCGCCCCGCGGAGCCGGGCTGCCTGCGCGCACCGGCTGGGCGGACGGAGGCCTTGCCCCCGTCCCCTTGAGCGAACCCGCGGGTGGCTGGGGCGCTGCGGCGTGCGGAGCCGGGTCCGATCCGGCGGGGCGCTTCTGACGCTCTCGCGCTCCCCGCTCCTCAGCACGGTGGCCACAGCCTGAGCAGCCTCCCGTCGCAGTGGGGGGTGGACTCCCCCGCCCTCTGGGGGGCCCACGACAAGAACAGCTCCATCAGCCTCTGGGAAGAGAGCCTCAAGAGCGCCGGCCCCCTCGCCCGGAGCCTGGGCCTGAAGAACAGCCGCAGCAGCCCCTCCCTGGGGTGAGTGTCTGGGGAGCCGGGGCGGCCGGGGGGCGGCCGGGGCAGCGGGCCCGGCTGACGCTCCGCTTCCGGACAGGGACACGTACGGCGCGTCCTGTCGCCAGAGCAGGAAGAAGACAGACGAGGAGGAGAAGCTGCTGAAGCTGCTGCAGGGCGCCCACAAGCCCCCGCAGGACGGCTTCACCCAGTGGTGCGAACAGATGCTGCACGCCCTCAACACCTCCAGCAACCTCGACGGTACGCGCGGGGGCGGTGGGGGGCCGGGGCCGGGGCCGCTTCGGCGCTCGCGCTGCCGCCGCAGAGGCGCCCCCTCCCGGCGAGGTCCGTGGCGCGGTGCCCGCTGTCGGCACAGGCTGAGACGGGCCGGGGCGGATGCGGTGGCGGGCGCGGCCGAGGGGAGCGGCACCCCCCCACCAAATGGAGGCGGGTCCCAGCCGTCCTGCGGTGACCCCCACGCCCCCCACAAGAGGGGTTTGGCCGGAGGGCAGGGGAGCCGGCCGGGACGCCCCACCTTCCTCCCGCCCGCTTTGGGGAGGAGCGCAGGCCCTCCGGCCCGGGCAGCCCGCTGCAGGAGGCGCACTCACCCCCCTGCCCCCCCAGTGCCGACTGCGGTGGCCTTCCTGAAGGAGGTGGAGTCCCCCTACGAGGTCCACGACTGCATCCGCTCCTACCTGGGAGACACGCTGGAAGCCAAAGAGTTTGCGAAGCAGTTCCTGGAGCGCCGTGCCAAGCAGAGGGCCAGCCAGCAGCGCCAGCAGCAGCAGGTGGGGCGCCGCACGGACGCGGGGCGGCGGGGGGGGCTCCCCGAACGAGGCCGGGCTTCTGCCGGGGGGGGGCGCCCCCCGGACGGAGCAGCCCGGGGCCCGGCCTTGGCCCCCCCCCCGCCCGGCTGCGGCTCGGCCCTTCGGGGAAGCGCCCCAGCAGGGGCCGCTGGCGGGCCCCGGCCACCTCGCCCTGACGCCGCCTCGCCCCACAGGAAGCCTCCTGGCTGAGCTCTGGCAGCCTCTTTCAGTCCAACCACAACCCCAAGCCGCCCTCCTTCGAGAACAGCCAGGCCGTGAGGATCAAGCGGCGCCCGATGATGCTGCACGCGGATCCCAGCATCCTGGGTGAGAGGCGGCCCGCGGGGGCCTCCCCGCCCCCTTGGCGTGGGGGGGGGCCGCCGGGCGGCCGAGGGAGGAGGGTGCCCCGCGCCCCGCGCCTGACCGCCCTCTCCCCCGCAGGCTACGCCCTCCACGGCTCCGCCAGCGAGCTGGAGACGGTGGAGGACTACTGACGGCGCCCGCACAGCAATAGGAACCCCTCTGTCTCTCCGCGCGTCTCCTGGGTGCCGCCGCTGCCTTGATTTCCCCGGCTTCAGCTCCGGCTGAACGTGCACTGCAGGAGAGGCGGGCGGGCGGGCAGGCCTCCCCCGGCCCAGCCCGGCCCCGGCCCCTCCGGGGGCAGGCGGCGCGGCGGGCCGTGGCGGCACGGATCGGATCGGTCGGACCAGGCCAGGAGGACGTTTAGCACTTCTTTCCTTACAAAAGCACCTTAACGAACAAAACTTTTTCTGCCATGGCACTTTATCAAAACTTTTTTTTTTACAGTGACTTGTTACAGATTCAAAAAAAGGAAAAAAAACACACTTTTTGAGATTCTAGAAGACTTTTTTTAAAAAAAAATGTTTTAAAAAACCTACAAAAAGTTTATCTTTAAAAGAAAACACTTATTTTTCACATGGGGATAAGTTTAAAAATGTGAATAGCAAAAGTTCACAGAGGCTTGATATAAAAAGATTTATAAGGCAAAAAAAACTTGAAGAAATGCACTTAGAAAAAGGAACTGTGTTTTTTTATTATTTGGATAAATACTATGTGTAAATACTGTTCAGACTCTTGCTCCGCACAGTATATTTTCTCTTACGAAGAGGCCATTTTATAAGACTTTTTTTGTTGTTTTTTTAAAGATATTGCACAAAAATGCCCCACCCTCTCCTCGTTTCCTCCCCACCCCCCGGATGTACAACTCTACTTGGTTTTGGTTTTTTTTTTTATAAAAAGAGAAAAAGAAAAGCTTGCAAAAAGACGAATGGACACTAATGATGAAGCGGGTTGCTTGAGCCAGACGCTGCTTTGCTCAACCAAGCCGGTCCTGGATTCCCCCCTCTCCGCCCCCCAGCAGAGGGGTCTGGATCCTCCATCTTCGGGCTGCTTCCGGCCGTCTCGCAGCGCTCCGCCCTCCTCCGGGGTCGCCCACACCTTCCGCCGAGCTCCCGGTCGGTCGGTCGTCTTTTTCCCCCTGTGGATCCTTAAAACGTTTCCGTGCTACAGCTCCTCAGCCAGATCTGTTTTCTGCAGCGACTCTTTTACTTGTGTGTGTGTGTTGCACTTTTTTTATATGAGAAGAAAAGCTCCGAATCTTGTGAGTTCCCTCTTTTTTATCTTTCCTGTTCAGTTTGTATACCTGTATGCGGATGAGTATCGGATCCCGTCGGGCGCGCGTTTTGAGGGGGGAATCCTGCGTATTACAGGCAGCAACCTAGAAACTGTGCACTCAAAACAGAATTGAATGTATCATACCTGGGTGACAATTCTCGCTCTGGAGCCACGTCGATTCTCACCCTGCGGCTCCCCCTGAGCTGCACCAGCCGCCTCCGGCGAAGCGGCGGCAAGCGTTTGTCTACTCCGGGGGGGCGTGCGTGTTGTTGTTTCCTCGAGCAAGGACGCCGTTTGTGTCTCGGGCTACTTGGAAGCTCCGGTGTTTTTAGCGTAGCCACCGTATTTAGGGGCAACATTTCTGTATGTGCTTTTTGTGTATATGTAGCTGTGTACGTGTAGTATCTTTACAGAGGGTGACCTCTTATATCTAATTTTGCTTGAATGGGGTTGTTTTGCTCCCAAGGACCGTTTTTGTTTACAATCCCCCCCGGGTCCCGTGGGGACGGGGCTCACGCAGGGTGCCGCCGTTGGCGTCCGAGTGCGCGGGAGGAGGGCGCGCTCGTGGGGGACGCAGCTCGTGATCGGCATACCGCACCCGCTTGTGAGAAGTGTGGACCGTGTACAGAGAAGGGATGGCCTGAGCCGAGAGGAGCGCTGCTGGCGCCCCCGCTCGCCTCGCCTCTTCCCGGCCCGACCCCTGGGTCTCCCCCAGCGGCATGTGGGGGGCTGGGAAAGTGGGCTCCCCAGCGGCCGAGGACTCCGGAGGAGCCCTGGTCCTGAGCCCCACGCAGACGCGAGTGGCCGCCCGAGGGCCTGGCAGGCGGAGGCACTTTGCCTCGGTCTTTCCCCCCTCCCTGTGGCGTTCGCTCCATGTGCGGACGCCCCCCCCCCCCGGCATCCCTCCCCACGCTGGACCGGGATGCTGCTCGCGGGGAGGGGAGGCCTCGCCAGGCAGCTTGGGGGGCCGGTCTTGCCGCGCGCATGCGTGCATTCGATCGATCGGAGAGTCCTTGTCGTGAATACTGTGATGCTCTCGTGGTTCTAAGGCGGGAAGAGGCCCTGAGAACATGGGGGGGGGGGCACGTCCCCTGCGTTTTTCCTTGCCTCCCCAAGATGGAAGGCCACGCATTTTCCGGGACGCGAGTTCATCGGGCGTGTCGTGGCCTCTGCCGCTGCTGTTCCGGTCGGTCAGTGTTGGTCCGCAGAGGAGAGGCCGTTGCGCTGCGCCCCCTTTGCGTCCGTGACTGGTGGGCCCCTCTAGTGCCGACGATGCGGCCCGGGGGCGCTGCCGGGGGCGCCTGGCCGGCTCGCAGCCCCTGGCCTGGCGGGCGCCCCCCCCCGGCCTCCGGGCGCCCGTGGGGTCTGCTGAAGGGCGGGGCGGCCGCCCGGGGGCCGCTGCTGCTTCGGGGGCCACGCACTCGGTACCGGTTGTCGCCAGAATGTATGTAGACCAGCTGCTTCCTTGCACCCAGGGCCTTCCACCCAAGGGCTGCGTTTTTGTGTCCGATCCACGTTTCAGTCTTCGCTCGCTCGCTCGCTGGCTCGCAAAGGCGGCTGGGGGAGTGTCGCCGCCCCCCGCCACTCGCAGGCTCCCCCGCCGTGGCTTCTTGCCCCGGAGGCTCGGGGTGGGACGCGGACTACAAGAATCCCAAGGCTTCTTTTTATCAAGGTACGGGCAAAGTTTACGCAGAGCCAGCGCATGGTCGGGGCTCCCGGGGCCTTTGTGTGGCAGCAGGGGCGGGGGCGTGCGGCCCCCTCCACCAGGCAGTGCCCCCCGGCCGTTGGGGGTCACTTCAGGGCGCGTGTCCCAGGAGGGGAGGCGGGGGATCCCTTTCCACGCTGCGCCCCGCAGCCTCACTTGCCCTTCCTCCCCTCCTCCTCCCCTCCGTCTCTGATGGTACAAGCGACGTTTGAATTCTCCCACGGACGAGGCCAGGCGAGGCGCATGCAGAGCTTGGCCTTTGCTCTCGGGGTCGGGTGGGGAGGGAAGAAAGACCAACATGTGGGTGGTTTTTTTCAGTGTTAAGCTTCTTTTCTAAATACCTAGCAATAAGGAAGGAACACAGCCCAGTGTTCACAAGAATTGTAGCACCTGAGGATGCTGGAAGGGGTTGTAACTGATGCTGTTTGGGGCAGGGGAGAGGAGCAGGGCCCCTCCGGCCCGTGCTGGGGGGGAGGCCTGCCCCTGCCCCTCGTGTGTCTGAGGCCTGGTGGTCCATCAAATGTGAAGAGCGAGGGGGCGCGTGCCGTGGGGCGGGGAGAAGAGGGCTCGCCTGGCGCAGAAGCCGGCTGGCCGGAGTGGCCATCGTCGTCGTCGTCCGGGCAGGAGGGCCGGGCCTCCCGAGGCCGGCCTCCCCTCGCCCAGGGCCGTGCGTGTGCGTGTGTGCGAAGCGTTTTTGTAGCAAATGTGCTCCTTTCTGGCAACCATTTGGAATGTGACTATGAATGTAAATCCGTGCCCGGCCCCACCTCGGCTGCCGCGATGATGGGGTGCGTTGCCCGTGGCTTTTCCCGGGGTGGGGGCCGGCTTACACTTGCGCTGTCCGAGTGAGTGATGGAGTGAAGAGAAGAGCGGTGCGCGCGCGCAGGAAGCTCACGGGGCACAGCTGCAGAAGGAGTGCAGGCCGAGACGCGTGTGGTTGAGCGCTTCTCCCTTCGGCCGCGGCGCCCGGGCCTCCTTGGGCGCAGGTGGAAGAGGCGCCGCGAAGCGCCCTGCCCCGGTGGGCTCTTGCGGAGGCAGGAAGGCCACAGGAAGGCCACGTTCCCGAGTGTTTTTCTGTTCCAAACTAGTGACAACCGATCAATTTTTGCTATGTTTTTCCGATGCCTTAAACTGTACACTGAAATAGGTTCAGCGGGCGTGCGAGATTTCTGGGGACGGGGCGCGTTTCTGCCCGCCGAGAGACGTGTGTGTGGGGCGCTTTGCCGAGCCCCGTGGTGTGCGATGGAGGGTCTCCCGCGGGCCCCGCGCACGGCCCCCTGGCCCCCGCACGCCGCCCGGCGGAGATGCCGCAGGACAAGACGGGGCGGCCTCGCGTGGACGGAGGGTGCGGAGGACGGACGCGCCGCCACGGGTGCCCACGTCCCCTGTGCGGCTGCAGCTCGACGGGGCCAGTGGAGTCGAGGGGGTCGCCCGCTGCCGCTTCCACTTCCGCAGAAACGTGGGGCCGGACGGTGCCCCCCGCCCGAACTGTGGGTGCGAGGGTGATGCCGCTCGACTCCCGCCTTCTAGCCGTCACCTGCCAAGGGCGGGCTAGAGGCCATCTACCTCCCCCTGCTGTTGCCGTCGGCACAGAAGAGGCGTCCTTCCTTCCTTCCTTCCTTCCTTCCCTCCCTCAAGTATTACAAGAAACTGTGACGGGACTTGCCCAAGCGGAGACCCCCTGGCCTCCCGGCTCCTACTGAGAGTGGAAACATGTTTACAGACTTCACCTTTTTCCTGGTGCAAATTGGCAGAATCGGGGAGGGGAGAGAGGGAGCCCCCCTTTCCGCTTGGCTGAATGTTTAAGATGGACTCGCTGCCCCCAGGGACTTCAGCGGGGGCACGCTCCCTCCCCCTCGCCCTCCCCCGCAGGGGCCGCGGGCCGCACGCGGGACGTCTGGGTTCGCCTGCCGCCTCCGGTGGAGCGGAGCAGCTCGTGGGCCGTCGGAGCCGCCGTGGCCCGGCTTGCGTCGGCGTGGGAGCCTCGTGCGACGCAAGGAGAGGACTCTTCTCCGCGACTGGAGCTCCGGCAGCTTCCTTCCCAGGCGTGTGCGGGGGCGATTCCACCCTCTGCCTCGGACGGGGGCGTCGGGATTTGCGATGCCGCTCCTGCGCCTCCCGTGGGAGCTTTTCTGCGCTGTACATAATGCCCCCTTTGCTGTTCTCCAAAACACATAGGAACCGTTTGGCTTTCAGTAGGGAAGTGACTATCCATGGGTGTACGATGCCAACCCCCTTTCCTCATGTACCATATTGCCCCACGTACCTCTTTTGTAAATATCCTTCCTTCTCTCCACCCTGCAAGTTTGCAAGGAAATAAAAGCTTAGATGGTTGTGGAAGCGGCTGTAATTATTCTCTTGTCCCCGTCTGTCCCTCCGCCCCCCGCTGGGTCCGGGGAGGAGAGCACTGGCCTTGTTCTGAGCCACGTTTGCCGTGCCTCGCGGAAGGATCCGTCCCCCTTCTCCACAGGGGGATGTGCAGTTGGAATGGACCCAGTGGATGTTGTTACCACCTGATGCGCTCAAAACACGCCCTGCTGGGAAGGCGCAGAGTCCTTTTATTGTGACACAGAAGGGAGCAACGGCAGTCCGGAGCTTGTGGGTTGCGTCAGAGCTCCTCCCTGGCCTGAACAGCCGTTGGTGCAGCGCGGGGCCCAGCTGCACGCACCTCTCGGGCGCAGGGTCTCGGGCCCCACCGATTTTCACGCCCCAGAGTTTGGAGAGCGTGTCCAAGCAAGGGGTGTGATGAGCGAGGGGCTACTGAAACAGCCCCAGGGTGACGTTGTGCAGAAACACGCAGCAATGGACTCCTCTGGAGCAGTCGAATCCATCACTACCAAACAGAAGGAATATCGCGCAGCTGCCACTGCCTAGGAAGAGCCGTCCCCCAATTCGGGGGCCGCAGGGATGACGGCCTTAGAGAAGCAACCCAGCTGCTGGCGGTGGCTGGAGAAGCCCAGGGCATCTGCCCCTGGAGTGGGAGGCTTCCCAGGAGGGGGGGGCGGCCATCGCTGAAACAAGCCCCTGCCAGTCTCTGGAAAGCGAGAGGTCAAGCAGGTGAGGGACGGGGCGGCACCACGCCGGCGGCGGGTGCATCTCGTGGCAGGGCCTCCGTGGCCGGCCAGGGCGGAGGGCAAGGCGGACGGGGCCGAAGCCGGGACAGTCCTGCGTGCAGGTCCCCCACCTCGCACGGCGGGGACCAGCCCCGCGGCACCGTTGGTGCTTGGAGATGAGAACCAGCAGCACCGAAGGGCCCGGTCGCAGCCCAGGCCTGTGTCCAGTTGTGGGTCTGGCAAGACACGGGGGGGCTGCTCCCCGGTGGAGAAATGAAGAGCCAGAGGTACGCCGCCTTGGCTGGGGAGGTGCATGGCTGCCCCCCCCCCCCGTGCTGCCCAAGACGCGGCCGCTCGGCCGGCTTTGCCGCCCACTGGTTTTCTCTTCCGCGCCACAATAAACACACTGGGCACCTTCCCCTTGTGGAATTTCATGCCACACTGCGTGGCAACGAGGCCGAGCTGCCTCTTTGGGAGGAAAAGGCAGAAAGGGAGTGAAGGCTCCCGCGGGGCTTTGTGCCGTGGGCCGCGGCCCGCTTTCCATGGGGGCAGCTGCTTCTCCCACCCCGTCCTGCCTCCCCAGTGCCAGGGAAAGCCAGCGGCACATGATGCTCCCGAGCCAGGGAGAGCCCCCCATCGCCAGGCTGCTCTTTCCGGGAGTGTGGCGGGAGGCCTCTGCCCCCAAGCCCCGCGCTGCGCTGCGGCTCACTCCTGGCTGAGTGCGGGATGGGCCCATGGGGGGCTGCTTTGCCCCGCGCCGTGTGGGCGTGCCAGGGGCTGCCTCTCCTCCCGCCCCGGGCGCAGCTGTCGGAGGCCAGTGCTGGGGCCGCCCAGGGCCGCTCAGCAGTGCCCGGCCTGAGGCCGCAGCGCCAAGGCCACCGCCTGCTGCCCCGTAGAAGGCGTGCCGGGGGGGGGCCGCTGGGCCCACCACAGAAGTCATCTTGGAACAGGAGACCCCTGTGCACAGACACCCCCCCCCGTGCCCCTCGCGGCGATTGCGAGCTTGTCCAACAGTGTAGGCCACGTATTTCACCCAAGGCCCCAATTCGAGGCGGTGGCTTTGTGGGGGGGGGCAAAGGGGGCAGGCCCCTTGCCGTTGCAGCTCGTGCCATCCTGCCAGTGGCTCAGCTGAGGCAGTGGCCACAAGCCACCTCTGGGGGGGGGG